CATAATAGCCATTTTCTATACTTTTGAGGCATAAGCAATTAGGATATAACACTTACTACCCAGGGACAAAAAATCGCGTTACATCGTGAATTATGACTGCTACTCGTGCTGCGAGCAGCCTCCCCGCACCATGCAGACGCCTTCCCTGGAACCCCCGTCTCTCACCCACGCCCAGCTGCCGGTGGCTGCCCAATGCTCATCAGCCACGCGTGGCAACAACGAACGGGCAACGCTCACACACACACAGTGTCACACACACACACACAGTGTCACACACACACAGTGACACACACACACACAGTGACACACACACACACATAGTGTCACACACAGTGTCACACAGTGTCACACACACACACAGTGTCTCCTCAGCTGTCCGTCAGCCCCCCCCTCCTCACCAACACACACCAGTGAGTGTGTCACCCCCCCCCCCTCACCAACACACACCAGTGAGTGTGTCCCCCCCCCCCCTCACCAACACACACCAGTGAGTGTCACCCCCCCCTCCTCACCAACACACACCAGTGAGTGTGTCCCCCCCCCCTCACCAACACACACCAGTGAGTGTGTCACCCCCCCTCCTCACCAACACACACCAGTGAGTGTGTCACCCCCCCTCCTCACCAACACACACCAGTGAGTGTGTCACCCCCCCCCTCACCAACACACACCAGTGAGTGTGTCACCCCCCCCCTCCTCACCAACACACACCAGTGAGTGTGTCACCCCCCCCTCACCAACACACACCAGTGAGTGTGTCACCCCCCCCTCACCAACACACACCAGTGAGTGTGTCACCCCCCCTCCTCACCAACACACACCAGTGAGTGTGTCCCCCCCCCCTCACCAACACACCAGGAGTGTCACCCCCCTCCTCACCAACACACACCAGTGAGTGTGTCACCCCCCCCTCCTCACCAACACACACCAGTGAGTGTGTCACCCCCCCTCCTCACCAACACACACCAGTGAGTGTGTCACCCCCCCCCCTCACCAACACACACCAGTGAGTGTGTCCCCCCCCCCTCCTCACCAACACACACCAGTGAGTGTGTCACCCCCCCCCTCACCAACACACACCAGTGAGTGTGTCACCCCCCCCCCTCACCAACACACACCAGTGAGTGTGTCACCCCCCCTCCTCACCAACACACACCAGTGAGTGTGTCACCCCCCCCCCCCTCACCAACACACACCAGTGAGTGTGTCCACCCCCCCCCCCCTCACCAACACACACCAGTGAGTGTGTCCTCTGGGCTCATCTCGTTTTCGTGAATGATGCCCACTGCGGTGGGACTGCTGTGATGAGTAAGACTCGCTATGAAATTACAGTTCGTGATAAATGTTCAGCACATTCAGGGTCATTCCATTGACTCCTAAAATCACCTAAAAGCAAACTTTTTTGAGGGGGGGGGGTATGATTTCAGATCATTAATGCATGAGAGGGTATCATGTATTACCTTACACTGATCGCATTATTCTGTGTTATATAAATCGTAATAATGTACAGTTCTTTGTCGCCCCACTGCTGAATCAAGGTCTCCCTATGCCGTATTGCTCGTGGCTGTTGTTGGGCTATGCTTCACCACCCTGGTCCGTGTGGGTTTGGGAATAGGATGCCCAGGACTGGATCAGTGGCCACTTGCCAATGATGTTAGCCGTGGCCGGGAATTGAACTCACTGGGTTAATAGCATAGTATGCGAACCACTGCACCACCACTGTGTAATATACCAACCCATGCATTAGGCACCACATGTACAGTATTTATAATGTTTAGTTAAATATAGCATCGTTGATGCAAATGGAATCTTGCAACCGCAGAGGAACCACAAGCAGGAAGACAACTAGGCGGGTGAGCCGGCCCCAAACAGTTGCCCAAGCTCTGCAGTCCTCAATATTGAAAGATATTTTCAGCTAAAAAATTGGGATTTATATATGATTTTTATTATACAGTAAAATTTGTATTACTCACATTTTTTCAAGCTGGCAACACTGTTTGTAATTATTTATAATGGACTCTTTGGTTACTGAAAAAGCCTGTTTCATGTATGGCCCAACAAAGGAACCCCACCACACCAGAGGTCGCAAACGGGTTTTGATTCCTTACCCGTACCCGGCCGCACCAGGGTCGCAAACGGGTACCCGTACCCGGCCGTACCCATACCCTACCCATACCCGGCCGGGTACGGGTAGGGTACGGGTATCGGGTACCTGATTGCGACCTCTGGGATGAAGCCATGTTGCAGGCGCGGGTGGGTTGATTCTAGGAACTTGAATTGTGAGAAGAGACAAGTACGTTGGGAAATGAGTGACAAACGGTTACTCACCAGTGACTCACGGCCTACCCGTACCCGTACCCGGCCGCACCAGGGTCGCAAACGGGTACCCGTACCCGGCCATTCTTTGCGTGCGGTACCCGGCCGGGTACGGGTAGCCGGGTATCGGGTAGGGTACGGGTATCGGGTACCCGGTTGCGACCTCTGCCACTGCCCAACAGTGAGGTGGATACCGAGCACGAGAAAGTGAAATTCTCACCTCCTCTAGCCCAGGAGCGTCAATGCAGATAGACGGGGTTGGGGGGGAGGGTCACTCAATGCTCACATGAGGGCAGGGGACACGTCTACCACTTCATTGAGTGCGCCGGTGTACGTGTATGTATATATGTAATAAATAAATAAATAAAAACTACACCACGCATTCTTTGCGTGCGGTGTTTTTTAGTCGGCAGATGTGGCCGGGGTGCGCCAAAGGGGCCGTGGTGAGCACGGCACACTTAATTAGAGGCAGGCATGCGAGGCGGCAGGAAAGCAGGGCAGACCGTAATGATCGTGACCTCTGGCTCCGGCGCAGGATGCCACTGGTAATTTAACTTCAACGCAGAGGCGGTAATAGAAAGACCGAGCGGCGCAGATAATTGGCGCAAACGTTGTTTACAATGCATTAAAGAGAAAAGGTTTTAAACAAAAGAAAATGCAAATGAATAAGTGTCATTTAACAAGGGCATTTATATGCGTCCTGCTGTGCGCACACCGGATTTAGATGTTTTCAAATGTAGACATTTGTGTGTGTCGGCTCTGTCTGATGAGGAGGAATGAAACGGGGAGAAAAGTGACCTCTGTCCCACTGTGATGTTATGCGTTCGTCGACTGCTAAACATGGGTTGGCTTTAGAGTTGAACATTTTTCGTCACACGGCTCAAGAGACCGGAGACTTTTCCTTTTTTTTTACCTGAGTGGCCGGGATTTGTGGATTTGCAGGTTTGTGGGTTGGTGCCAGAAGAACATGAATCGGAAACTAAGGAGTTTGACAGAAACCAACTCATACATTGCCAAGATTCATATCTTGGACTAATTCAAAGAGTTGCCTGCCCAATTATGTCTCTTCCTGTATGATTGTCGCGTAATTTGTGGTGGGTTGTGTTCACCATGGTATAATTGTTAGCACACTGCACTTGCAATCAATCCAGAGGTCGCCGGTTCAATCTTCCAGTGCAGCAGTTTCAACAATGGGTACGTTTCTTGAGTCCACCTGCCTCTGTCCACGCAGCAGTACACGAGTCCAGCACTGCTAGTTGATCGGCAGATCGTGTGTGGCGGGGTAAAATGTGGGTATTCCCACCTCTTGTTCTTGTTCATGTTTTTGTTTTTTTGTTTGTTGCGGTTGCACCCGATTCAAGAGCCGAATGGCTCACAGGGCTATACCTGATAAGTGCAACTTGAAAAACTTGAAACTTCTTCCAAGATGTCTGGTGAGAGTGGAAGAGTAGGCCAAATGCTCTCTAGGGTGGCTCTATTGAGCTCCTTGCAGTAGAAACCCTTCCGTTGCGTCTCGTGTGTGTCCACCGTGTGTCATGTGTCGTGTGTCCAGCGCTGTGTCCTCCACGTCAGAGGATACTCGAACGCTTTAATCAACTTCCTACGGCGACGCACACGTCAAGCGGCCAACGTGTTCCCATCTCACTTTGAACGCAGCCGCCTATTTAAAATAAATGGCAATAACAGCTCGGACGACTACACCGAAATCATTGGGTTTCTTGTCATTACAAACATGGGCTTCATCAGTTGGGCTGAAATTACGCGGCGCATGCCACCCCACTCCACACGTTACACAAGATGACTTGTCACAGACACAGGACGTTACAATGTTATCACTGAATGTGTCGACAGATGCCCTCTTTGCGCGCTAATACATTTCCGACCGTGACACGGTGTAGTGTACAAGCGTTATACACACAGAGGGCTGAGTGCATCGCGTGGTCGAGTTGCAGACGGGAGGATGGCGGTTAGGGGTTCCCTGTCGCATTCTGAGAATTCATGCCGAAGGGGTAACCGTGGAGGCAGGGCCGGAGCTTAAAGCGGGGCGGTCCGCTCCGGTATGCATACACAGCATACAAGTAAGAAGCAAAGAGACTATATGATGGACCGGCAAACTTGAGATTTCATGTCAGGATATGATCGAGGTGAGCATTATGTATAAAATGCATTTTAAATGTGCTGGAATACTGTTACGTAGTGTATCATGTATATTAAATCTACTATAATACCCTTACATGGTATACAGGTAAAAAGGTAAAATATAAAAGGTCCAGTCTTGCAATTACTTGCTCACACCACTGTTGACAGAAGGCCACCACTAGAGGGAGTTCTAGAGAGTGCCTCTGGATGGAATTTGGCCTTCTCTTCCATGCTATGTAGTTTACAGTACATATATTCAATGCAGTAGAATACCATTACATTGTATATTTCTTCGATGCATACTGGCATCTTTTTCAAAGCACTTAAAACGCTGGGCAGGGCCAGTGATGTTGTCCAGGAAGCAGTTTCTCAATTTGCAATGGCAAACACTCTCTAGTCGGGCAGCAACTGGAGGAAGGTGCAATTGCCCCGCGAGAGACACAAACATCCATGATCATAACTCTTGACCCAGCTCGACGCACAAAGGGCCCTTCTGAGGCGACAGTGAGAAGGGGGAGAAGTGTGGGCGCCCGCGTTGCATTTACCTTCGCGGATGGCAGTGAAGGGCGTGCCTTCCTCCTCCTGCAGCCGGATCACTTTGAGTGCCACCAGCTTCCCGTTCACCCTGCGTGACAACACAGCAGTGAGACCCCACGTGCACCCTCCGTCCGACCCACTCCCTCGCCTCGTTAAGGCTCAGCAGCGTAGCTATCGTGTGCGCAGGTGGTGCAACTGCACACCGGGGCCTACGGTCCGGGTTACAAAGAGGCGAGTGGAAATTGAAGAGGGGTGGGGTGGGGCACCATTTCATTCCTAGCACCAGGGCCCATACCAACCACGCTACTACCCCGCTGGTTGGGCTCCGGTGCATTTGGTTTCTGTTTAAAGAGTGCATGACGGAGATCCGTGCGGGTGTTCCTGGATAAAGTAATGACACATGGTGGTGGTACCACCTGGTTTAGGGGGAAGGGGAGCTTTCGTGAAATACACCGCTGTTTTGAAAAACACTGCTGCGACCAATCAGCATTGGCCTTGAGGTACAAGAGGGCGCATGCAACCGTGGCTGTGCAATGGGAGTGGTAGAACCATGAATGGCAGAAATGGGACATAGAGGGTTTGTGGTTAGGGATAGGGTGAGGGATAGACCACTCCTGCATGGATTTAAGGTAAATACAGTCGTGCCCTGGGCAAAACGATTATTTTACATTCCTAAAATGTAATCTTCTGCTAACAAGTAATACATTTGTTGCAATTTGTTGCATACATCAATGCGACTTGCATATTAAGTGGTGGCCATTATACGCACACTTTAAGACATATCCGTAAAATTGCGAACAAATTATAAAGTTTCAAACATTTGGCATTCGTCACAGCTCTGTGACCTGCTCGGACTCCCTAATCGCACACCCCTTAGGCTGTGTCTGGGCCCACTGATTGGCTGCAGAACTCATTTTTTCTGAGCAGCTACGATTTTTCATGCCACAGTGCACAAACCAAGGGGAACGATCAGGTTCACAGGAGTGCGGTGCAGACGCTGCGCTGCATTCCCTATCGCTCGCATGCTTTAACATGCGAAAAGCACCTGTGGCCACAGAAAATGATGCGATCCTGCTGGGTCCAATTTGATTACACCCCACACCCCCATTCGACACTCTGCTTGCTGAGAGCACCTCGTATAATGTGATTTTGTTGCCGATTTGAATAACGTTTCAATACGAGCAATTCCAGTTACGTGACGTGCGTTTGAATCTTTTTCATAGCAAAACATTAACCGCCAATGGATCCGCCGCTTTAGGTAGAGTCGTAAGCTAGACATAGCTGGACATTTTGGAGCCTGGGCAGGGTGCCATCCTTGCGCCCCCCCCCCCCTCCCACCACCTTGCTGTTGCAGTGCCAGCACAACCCCACCAAATATTTGAGGCCACCGGCAGCCACAGCTGGCTTCCAACAATTGCGCCGCACGTTCCGGCGACGCCTGAGGCAGCCACCCTGCCTGCCCCACCCTTGCTAGGGCACTGGCTTTAAGGTTACACAATACCGGCTGCCCTGTTTATCCATCCGGTGGCAGTGGTTATGTGGTGTGTGGAGGAGCGTCTGCATGCAGCATGCAAGGTGTGTGTGTGTGTGTACACAATTGTGAAATATACGGCTGGAAATTGAGCAAACTGATAGATAAGAAAATAGATTTAGGAGGGCAGTTATGGATGTGGTCTCCAAGTAGCGTGGCTCACTTGCTCTTGCCCTTGTAGACGGTGGCATAAGATCCTTCGCCCAGCTTCTCCAGCTTCTCGTATGAATCCACCTTCCCAAACTTTGGGCTCGTGGGCTGTAAAGGACCACATGGGCATTGTTAGTGCACTGTCACAAGCATTTGAAAAAAAAAAACTCAAACATTGAACCGCGCTGTAATTTTATACGCTAGTGCCGTATATCGAGTTGCACCTAGAAAGTCATCCTCGAATTTATTTGAAGCAATGTCTTGTGACATTTAACTCTGCCCTGAGCCCAGAGACGATTAGGCGCTACAGGTGTACCAGATTTGGCTACGACATAAGCACGGAATGGGTCTATGTTTTCAAGTAATGTAACAGGGATTTCACAATGCATCGAGGCAACTGTTTTTTCTAATAAATTAATTGTAACCCATTGTGATTCCACTGCTAGATGAAAACTTCCCCACATCGCATTGGCCATGGATTGGTTGCTGCACCACACTGATAAGTACGGATTAAAGAAGGTGGTAGCCCAAGGACAGGTTTGGAATTCACACGCCACAAGTGTTACCCATGGCCAGGATCTAACCCAATTTATCAAGGTAATGTTACGACTAGAAATAAATGAAGGGAGACAACGATGACTCACGACCACTCGTAGGTATGTAAATGTCTGCAAACACACAGGAGCATGTTAAAATTATTCACCGGCATGCACAAGCTGCTGAAAAAGAATTCCCACGCGACGGTTATTACGTAATGAAAACGAAAGTAAGTGTCCTTCACGGCATGCCGCAAGCCCTGCACTGCGGTGGCCAAAGAAATCCACTTCCTTCAGACGGAATCCTTGGGCGCGCGGTCTCATTTGAAATGCTTAAGTTGAAAGGGAGGCCGGCTGCTGGGCAGAAGGGCGAACATCGTGGGGAGCACAACGAGTGTTACCCAAAGAACACACGGGAATGAGCGCCAGCGAGTCCCTAGCGCTCATCTAAAGCTTGCCAACTCCACGAGGCATAGACGACTCTCCCCTTCCATCTCTCTCTCTCTCACTCGAGATAGTACAAGGAGCGGGAGAAGCGCCGAGCGAATCCACAGAGAGAGCGTCGGGTGAAAACTTACAACAGAAGATGTCCTAAAAGAAAGAACCCACCCCCACATTGCTTCCCCAATGTTCCGCTGCGAAATGGGCACGGGAGATGTGATCAGCATTTAAATGCATGTTATAATGTATTCATATAATGGATGTATGTGACATGAAGTTAAAGTTATCTGGCTGTAACATTCGTACCAAGTATTATTATTAGAGGAGGAGGAGAAAGCAGCACATAGCCCCAGGCCAGGCAGGTTAATGTGTGTGCCGTGTCTGCAGCACATAAGCCACTCTGCCAGTGAGCCTTATTCTGCCTGTGTGCATCGGGTGTTCACCAAAGACTGTTTCATCCGGCACAAAACAGATAAGCATGCAGTTACTGCCAAAGCCCTCATGTTCCCAAGATAGCTGGGTTCCTTTTAACATTATTATTGCTTGCACTGTCTGCATTTAAATAACATTTGTTTAAAGAAAAAATCTGTTATCTTTTTCTCCAAATTATTCTACTTGTGCTATCGGCAGCGAGAGATAAAGACTCCATTCACATGTCTCACACAGCAGTGTAACCCTTGATATTAGACAACAGCACACATAAGTGGATATCACGGATATACTTCTGAGATACATTGAAGCCACCAGTTGCATGCAGTATGACAGCAACTGATCTTTTCAATTCTCAGAGCTGAAATCTAAGCCGAAGTCGGTGTAAAACTAAATTTCATTGGACGTGTTTTATTTTCGTGCTAACATTGGTGACAGGACTGAGGCCATCAGCTCACGACACTTGAGGACCCAATTGAAGCACAGGCAAATACCTGGATTTCAACCCAGGTCTAAGTGGTGCCAGCTTAGCACTCTAACCTCCGAGTCCGCACAATTATCTCATTGAATTACATAACAATGATATCATCATCTTGAGCCAGGATCGGCGGATTGCTGAATTAAGGCCTCCCCCCCACCCCACGTTGTTGCCATATCTCATGGTTTTGCGATACAACATTCCATCTAGCACTTGAACAAAGCTGATTTCATCGCTCCATCTCTGGGGTACAAGTTCTCTTTGTCGTATTTACATTTTTGGCTGCCAGTCCATAGTTAGTCTCAGGCCATTTGCCATCATCCATGCTAGCATCATGTTCTGCCCAAACCCACATACATTATTAATACAAAATAAAAGCATCTACACCTGTAATGATAATGTTGTGAGGATACAATGGTGTTACAAGCACGTCTTTACATTCCTTTGTTATTCTCTTTGCAATGTTTTTGTATTCCTAATATTGACTGATCATCCTGTGTTCTAATAGTTTTGTTTCGCTTTGCTTGATGAAAAAAAAACGCCAGACCCTATCGTAAATGTGTCGAGCTCTGAAACTCTCGCTAGTCCTGTATTCTCGCTTGGCAATGCCTTTCAGAGGTGAGCTCGGCTTTTATCTTCACTGGAAATCAATCCCAGCCCAGTTGAAGGCACGCACAGACACCGATGGCGAGCCAAAGCACACCGCCAACGTGGGCAGAATGCTATTACCCATCGAAACGGGGCGAGGGGGGATAACAAATGAATGCATTACATCGATGTATCGAGCAACTGTTATCATTATCAATCAGAAGCAAGTACCGCAGTGGCTGGGAGATGCACTTGTAAGATCACTTGGTATATTGTCGGAACGTTGCAATTCCAAATTCTGATTGGTGGTCAAATCAGCCAATCCTTCTGGGGTTGTTATAATAAATACAGATATAGGGAAAGTTAATGTAGGCTGTACCGTGAATAAACTGCCCTTGCCTATAAGAACATGGAATTTCCACCAATGTTTCAGGACCGTCACATAATTTGAACGCTGCCCCGTACCCATTGACCGTGGGGACACTGGTCTTCGAAACATTACAATCCCGCAAGGTGTTGCCCAACAGTCTATGTATGCAAATCCGGGGGGTATTTTATTTGTCTAAAGGGGGAGTGGGAAGGGGGGGGGGGTGTATACCCCCCCCCCCTGGTTATTGCGCTGTACTACGATACCCTGTGACCTGGGTTCAATTCCCAGCCATGGCAAGTGGCATCTGAACCTGCCCTGGCCTCCCCGAGGGCACAAACCAGCTTCACATAAATGTCCAGTGCAGTATGTCAAACATCAGCACTGTGCCATGCCAACCTTCAAAGGTGCTCGATTACAGCACTCACCCTGATGGTGTACAAGGCTTAACCGGGGGTGGGGAAAGGGTGGTCTTTGTCATTTGGCCTCCGAGTCAAAATGTACAGGTCCAGGCTCAAGACCTTTTTTTATTCCACTGCCTATGATGGATTGCCTCTCTCTACAAATAAATATACCCACTGTTCCTGTACAACATGTAGAGATGTGGTCACATTTAGACACTATATCAATATACATTTGGTCAGAATTTTATTGAATTAGGGGTGGAGGGGTCAGGAGGAGGATTATGATGTTGGATGATGAAGATAACGACAATGAAGACAATAATGATGCTGACCATAATTATCCTAATGATAATAATTGATGACAATGGATGGTCCCATAGCAATGGACGGATGGCGCAGGTGGACGGATGGCACAAGCACTTACAGAACCCGGACTGGAATGGCGGAGCGAGCTCGGCGAGTCTCTGCCCGCCGTGCGGATGCCGCCGTCCGTGTCGGACGGCACACGCTTCACGCGGCCCGGGGGCCTCTCGGGCGGCTCCGAGGCGCTGTGGACGCGCCGCTGCGCCGCCGCCACCGCCGCCGCCTTGGCGCGCCGGTCCTCGGGAATCGTCTCCAGCTGGGAGATGACAGGGTCGGTGGCGAGGACGCTGCCACGGCCCCCCGACATCCTCGACACGGACATCTGCGACAAAAGGGGGTGGAAGAACAAACAGAGTTCGTGTAATTTCCTTTATTTAGTAGGGCGTTTGGAGAAGCGCGGGGTGATTTGTACCGACACAGATTAGCTCTCCGATGATTGTGCCTTTGCCCATGTGGGCGGTGTGCTCAGGCACGTCGGTGTTTGTACATGGCTTCCAACAGGCCTGGCATTGATTTCCAGTGAAGGTAGCAACCGAGCTCACGTGGAAACAGCATCGTCGAGCAAGACAACAGCAGCAAGAGTTTCAACTACACTGGGTGTAGTTCAGCACGATGTCCAACGTTCCGCTCCACGTGCTGTCAACACGTCGGACGTCGCGTCGAACAGAGTGCAGTACAACCCGGCAAATAATCAGAGAGCTATACCGCACAACCGCGAAAACCTACGCACTAGTGATGATAATGATTAATGATGCTGACAACGATGATGACGGTAATGACGATGATGGTGTCTGGGGTCACCAGATGGAAAGCTATTTGATGGTGTCCGGGGTTGCCAAGTAGATTCCATTTGCACGTCTTGCAAAAGCGTGTCCAGTATTGGACAAAGATCAGTGATGCGAGTGATGCATTGCACTTTACTGCAAGTCACAATTAGGCGACTGCTTAATTCCCCACTTACGGAGGAGGTAACCTTCCAAGTGCAGGGCCAAAATCAATTTGACTGACGACATTATGTTTGTGTCCTGCTGCTGTTGGCCACAAAATGTGCAGCGCTTGAACAAATATGAAGTGCTTATTGAAATACCACAAATGTAATAATAATAATAAACATCTCTCGTGTACGGATGAAGGCGGTTCGGAAGGCAGATGGATGGGTGGCTAAATTTATTGATAGATAGGGAGGTGGACAGTGGAGTACTATGTAGGTAGACTGGTTGATAAGTATGCAGATTGGATGGTAGACATGTCAGAAGATTGGTAGACAAAGGTAGGTGGATCTCCTGTCATGTACTATGTTTCTCCTTTGTAGGAGAAAACTGGAGCAAGGCGAGAAGATAACACAAGTTCAGGGTTACTGGACGTAAAATTATATTCAATATTTAACAATGATACATGGAGACATGTATTGATATAAAGAAATGGTTGAGGTAGCGGGAATGACCTCAGAGACTATTTGTTCCTGAACATAAATTTGACATGATAATTTGAACATAGTTGATAACTTGACGGTTCATATATATCCACACATATACAACTACATCTTCACATTACTATATATTTTATACAATGCTAGTCAACATCCAACTTGACAAATTAATCTTTAAAAAAAAACAATATTCCTGACTGTCAGAAAATATATACCCACACATACATATCAAACACCAATAGAAAAACATTTAGATTTAAGGTTCAATTTATAGCACATCGACAAAATAGCACTGAAAATGAAGAAAAACTCAATGGAGTAGTGATAAACCTAATAATATGACAGCACTGCCCTTGACAGATGACATGTCTAGAGTGCAGTACCTTTTCAATTGGCTCTGACACGTGGTGGCACAGTGCACCGCTGGTTCCTATTTTTGTTGGCATTTGGCTGGAAAAATGTGAAATATTTGGCAAATTAAATGGAGACAGCCTTTTTGTTCCCATCACACACTGCGCCGTGCATGGAGCTCATGTAAACAAGGTCAAGGAGCACCCTGTGCTGTGCACGCAGTGTAACGCAGCAAGGATGCAGATGGGTAAGGATCAAATATTCACATTTGCCACTGAATATTTTCCGGATCGCTGGTAGAATGGTGTAGGTGGCACTTGAATAATAGCCACGCGGCCATAGCGAGGGGTATGCTGGATGTGGGTTGTTGTGTGCGGAAATATTTTCCGGGTCGACGGCCCAGTCAGACCCAGCTGAAATGATGCCCTGCTACATATGACAGGCAGGAGAGAGACCCAGTGAACGAAAGTAGAGGTATTGGTTGTCAATCCACTGCTGCACAGTTCCTCCCCACACTGTGTGGGTTGTTGAGGTTTTTTTTTACCATTTTTCACCACACTGGGCAGTGTGTTTGTGAAGGCAGAGAGTATAAATGTGGGCACAGACGTGCAGTACAACAATGGATTTTGCTGCCCTACCCTCGGCTGCCCACTATGTAGGTAATGGTTATTGTTTGGTTACTATAATTTCACTCTAGCAGTCCACCCCACCCTCCACTGCAAATAAATATACAATAACTACCGTATACAAAGTGGAGTAAAGAAATAAGTATATAAACAAATAATAATTGTTTGCAGGATTTTGTTGTTGTTGCCAATGTGCAGTTATTACGAAAACAAGGAATGGATGTTCGTTTCACGTAAACACGCAGCAGATGTCGTGGGCAGTGGCAAAGCGAGGCAGGCTTTCCCATCAATTCAATTCGCATTGAGAAACGCTGACAGGAATACTTCGTGGCGGTAACCCACCCCTCACTGGCCCCACGTGGCCCGGTTACAAGGGCGATTCTTTCTAGCGGTTGCCGGTCGATTGTGAACGGAACCATCGGTGTTTTGGGCTCATTGAATAAAGCCAGAGCTCTATTGTTATCTCCTCCATTCCATCTGCAGCCACGGAGTCGTCTCTTGGTTTTGAGGATGGAAGAGCGGGCAATTAAAAGGGGCATCGGCGCAAGCCAATGGAACTTTGTCGAAGCTTCACTTCACCGAAGACCTAATTACAGGAGAGGCTGCTGTGCCGTGAATGTAATTGCACTTGAATGAAAATGTCTTGCATTTTGAAAGGGGGTTTAAATATAAATAAGTGCATTTCCTGCCTTTGTCTTTCTCGATTAATGCAGAAATGAAAACAAGATGGGTTTTTATGCTTTACATTCCAAAGGGAAATAACTCAATTGTTCAACAACAAGAACAATAAATAACACAAACATGTTTTTCACTTGCTTTAGGACCGGCTTGGTGTTGCTAACACAAAACCACATTTATCCTGCAAATGCCAGCATCAACTCAGGGAGAGATGAATTACATCCGCGTGTTTAAACACAACCTGTGCGCGCCGCCGCATTGGGTGTTTGGATATCCGTATCGGAGCGATTTCGTACGCTATATTTCCAAAGTACCGTGACATTAAGAAAAGGCGCACACGCATGTAGCCACCGAGCGTTTGCTCATTAGTTTTTACAGGCTTCCCCCTATAGCACTCAACCTCTGCTCCTCACTTGACGCAAAGAGTGTCAACGAGCTCTACGGGAAACGTTCAAAATGAATGCTATTACTAGCGTCTGGATTGGAAAGCCGGGATGTGGTTTACTGCGATGAACTAAATTCCCGCTGCAACCCCCACACACAAAGGCTATCTGTATCTGTTCCTAACCGAAGAGCACTTTATTTCATTACGGCAAATAAACACACAGGGCGAGGTAAACAAAGACACAAGTCCCCAGTGTGGTCCACAGAGACAAAGTTGAGGACAAAATTAAGTGAGAAAGCAACAACAACTCTAAAGTTTGTCACAAATCACAAGGGGGAGTTGGGTGGCCAGGAGCATGCCCGGCTGCCTTAGTCTCTCTCTGTGTGCTAATATTAACACCCTGCATCAGGTACTCATTGAAGGCAGAGATGACCAATGGGAGGCCCAGATAATCACCACTGATGTTTGGCCATGGCCAATACATTGAACTCAGTGCCCGTATTCACAACACAGCACGGTACCAGGTGCCCCACAACCCACCCATTGCTATGAGTATTATTATTACCCATTCTTAAGTGAAAACTACACGTTTAAAGTTTGCTCATTTGACCGATTTAACTGATTACCAGGCAGCCGGGTAAATGAAATCGCCAGCCTGCCCACCCATACCCCTGCTTGTTGTGGCGGTGGTCGAGGCGAGTTTGCAGCGCAGTGAACTGACCACTTACCAAAACACTCTCGAAAATATGGTGAACACACTCGCACAACGCTACATTATAGCTTCATTGGGCCAGTTTTAGATCACTCAATAGGCCAGGTTTACTTCTGCGATTGTTTTACATTCTTTAGCTTGGACCCCCCCCCCCTCCCTGCGAGGGTGGCCTCTGCATTCGTGCGTCATTTGTCCTAGGGAAAGTGCACACACACAAAACAAGATCCCCCGTGTAGCCTTAACAGACTGTCGGGGCAAGTGCTGTTAGCGAGCACCTATAAAAGGCCGGCACGGCACACGAGGGGGTGGGTGGCCAACACCACCAGGTACTCATTTGAGGCTGAGTCGACCTAGGGGAAGCCCAGGACCGGTTCGGATAATTGTCACTGGTGTTGGCCGTGATCGGGAATCGAACCCGGGTCGCCAGGTTCGTAGTGCAGCGTGCTAACCGCTACACTACCCTTGCACACGCATGCATGCACACACAGAGACTCTTGATGACTGTGCAGGAACATTGCGGTGGTTCTGAAACGCTCCAGAATGAAAGGGACCGTTTTACTTGTCACGAATAAATCATTAAGCTTGCGTCAAACCAGGAGCCATTGCTCACAGAACGAGTCCTTGCATATAAACAAATGGCAGCTCACCGGCATTGGTTCAAGCAGGCGAGACAACGAATGTCGACACTGGTGCAGTGTTGTTACTGGTAGGGACCTCCTGGTTACACCAGCCCATAGGGGATTATTGTGTCCGTCCATCGTGCAGGGAGGGGCTGGGTGGGGAGGGGAGGGTGGGGAGGGGCTGGGTGGGGAGGGTGGGGTGGAGCTGGTGGGGCTGGGTGGGGATGGTGGGGCTGGGTGGGGGGTGGGAGGGATGGGGCTGGGTGGGGAGGGGCTGGGTGGGGCTGGGTGGGGAGGGGCTGGGTGGGGAGGGTGGGGAGGGGATGGGTGGGAAGGGTGGGAAAGGGCTGGGTGGGGAGGGTGGGGTGGATGGGGCTGGGTGGGGAGGGGCTGGTCACCCCGTGGTGCCCTTATAAAACTCAACGTTTAACCTACTCACGCCGGCTTGTGCCCGCCCTCACAGTCGGGCATATTTGCGGAATACACCACGCCGCCATTGACCCTGGCCATTGACCGAGCAA